TGCACAGTGATTTTCTTAGTTCTTATGGCTGTCAAGATCCTGTATAGAAGCATGATTGCACTACTTCATCTTTGACTTCTCTTAAACACTGCAGCACTGAATCTCACAAGCAGGTCATAGTCTGCTTTCTTGGAGATCTGACAAAAGACCTCCCAGATCTTTTGCATTTAATTACCTGGTTGCCCTGAGACTTCCCTGCCCCTTGTAGTAAGGCTATGCAGGCCTTTAGGTACAGCTCCTAGCATAGTTGCTACTGATTTACATAGTCGGGGCTAAGTACAAACATCAGAGAATGCTCTACAGTTTCCTTATCACTAGTGAAGATTGATACATTTTCCTCCTAATTGCTGCATTCCTCTGTATTGCACATATTAAAAGTCAAGACTGTATTTCGTATCCTTTACATAAAGAACAGCTTCTCTTTTTTTTTTTTGGTAGGACCAGATCCTTTGGATATTTTCTTAGGCTGTTACATGTTGAAAGTTGACAAATTCAGAGGAATAATTATTTCCCAACAAGAAATGTTGAAACACATGATAGGAATTTTCAAAGCCTGCTATAAGACCTGCAAGGAGATGCTTCTTTTTGTTATCAGTGCTTAAACTGCATTAGTGACTGTGTTGAAAAATATTTCTGTACTTTACATGCACCAGACAGCTTTGCATTTGTTCCTGCACCAAAAGCTAGCATGTCCCTGAAGTGTCCAGAGCTGACAAAGCAATTGTTTAAGCTCTCACATAATCACCTCCAGGCAATTCTGGCTGTGTAGCTCCTCTTTGGAGCCACCCACTGTGTGGCAGTCTAGATGGATAGTACTGCAAGCACAAAAAGTAACCTGCTTAAATGAAAGTTCTTCAATACCTGTAATCCACTTTTTACTTCTCTCCAGAGCCCTTCTGGTACAGGGCTGCACTGGGAGCCTTTCAGTTAAGAGAAGGATGAAGAGACAGGAATGTGCTCAGCTCACTCTAGTCTTATGCTGAAAATTAGCTTTGAGGGGAAATGTATTAACTCATTTGCAAGGTTAAATTGTTTGTAGTTTTGAGTAATGACATGTGTGTACCATCATTGGCTCAACTAGCCAGTATGTAGTATGTGTTCAGTATACAATATGCAGTCAAGTAAGACTTCTCAGGTTGAAGAATTTAAAGTTATATGACCTGGTTTTTTTGGCAGTGAGATTTGAACTTGAGAAAAGGTTTTTGGTTTATTTGGTTCAAAGCAAGATGATGTTTTCAGTTTACTAAGGTTAGTTAGAAAGGGCTTGGGTCATTCTTGTATCCTATGTGAAGATTTTGAGCACCCTAGAGCATCAAAAAGACTCTGTATATGTAGAATAGCCAATTAAATTGAGTGGTTTCTGTCTAAACTATTTGGAAAATGGGTTTGAACTTGATCATGAACTTAGACAACACTCAAAGAGTAGACACATACCATGTAGATTACATGCAGATTCCTTAATGTCTTATGAAAGATGCTCAATTACCATATTTCTGTGTGGGAAAGCCATTCCAAGAAGGAAAAAAAAAACAAACCCAAAATATTAAAATATAGGGGAAACAGAAATTAACTGAAATTCTTTTAAAATATACACTGACATTTCAAGTTCCCGTTGCTATAGGAAGGTCCCATTGCTGTGGGTTCCTGGATATAGAAGAAAATATTTTCCTCTGCCTGTTTGGTTTTGTCTAAAGAAAATAAGTAAAACAAACCAAACATCAGTAAGCTTACAAAGGTTTCAGCTTAACACCATTTATACAGAACAGCTAGGCCACTGATGTGATTTTTCTCCCAACCTGATTTGTTCATGCAAACTTTCCACATACAAATAGAGCTCATTGACATTAATAAGAGCAGATCTCACACATGTCCTTTCTTATATCCAGCTGCACTCCTGGACTCATGAAACATCTGAATGCTCTTATAATGACATTGTCTCAGGTTGTATCTTGCTTAGTAATATATTAGTTCCTTTTTCATGAAAGATGGCTTTGATATTATAACTTATATAGTTTATCAGGGAGGCGCTTCATAACCTAAATGCACATATTCTTAATAAAAAGGCATCTTCTATTGTGGAAGAGAAATATCTAAGAGAGCAGCAAGTGCATTCTCTGGTACTCACAATTAAAACTACTGCGTCTTTGTTACAGAAAGATTATGGTTTAACAATTTTTCTGGTAGGCAAACAAGAAGAAGAACAGGATTTCAAAAATCACTTACCTAGACAAGATTTTAATATTTAACAGACTTGTACTGAAAAATTTATGTCCAGGGATTTTATCAAGCCATTCATTGTAACTCAAAAGGTGTGGTTATACTAAGCCATACGTACCTCTCATAGAAATGTATTAAGCTGCAGGGCTTCCAGACAGCCATCCTTTATTAACTTTTGTACTATTTAGGCTTGTCATTTAGATCACTTAATGCAGTGTTAAGGGCAAAATCTGTAAGATCTACAAGGGCTTTGTAATTTCTAGGACAATTTTTTGGAAACATATGAACTACATATTGTAATAGAGAAAATAATACAGATAAAACCAAAAGTCTTTGGATAGAGTTGTTACTTATTTTCATTTAATTTTCATTTTATAGTTACCAAATAATTAGAATTTACTCACACTAAATGAGACACAATTAAATAAAAACAAAGTCAGCTTTCTGCATATTGATTGAAAAAGAGAAAGGAAAATGTTAGAGCAGGAAGTGGGAGGTTCAACTTTGCGAGTGTTCCTCTGTGCGGGTTTAGGTTAGGGCTTATCATTTGATGAAATGTTTTTGCAAAATAACTGAATTTTTAAAAATATAAGTAATCTCTATATGTTAATGCCTTGGGTATGCTGGGCTAAATGTGTCTAATCTTTAACACATATAGTATGTGGATGGACCATACATTAATACTCGTGTGACAGGACTCTTGGCATAAGCAGAGATCAGTTACATCAGAAGATGAGCCTGGGACTAATGTTTAAAGGCCCCAGGTAATATGTAAAATAGGGAATACATAGACCGGAACTCTTGCTATCATCTGGTTATCTCTAAATGTATATTTATGAGGAAGAGCTAGATCTTCATAAACTCACTGATGATTTCACTCAGTACCCCTGAAGCAATGTCTGGAGGCAGAGGTAAGACTGGAAATTCCACGGAAGAAGTACATTTAGCAAAATGTTATTAGCTTTCAGAAGAATATTTCTTTCCCCTTTAGCAGGATAGCCATGCTTTTATCTATAATACAGTCAAGATGTTAACATGCATGGCAAAGAAGTTTTGCTATGAATTTCCCATTTTTAAATTCCTTTAAAATTCCTTTCAAGAATCAAGAAGCATAGTTAATAGATTTACAGCAGACCTAAGTATTACGTAGAAAATATAAATGAATTAGGGCTTCAAAATAATTTTATGAGGGCACTTTAACAGTGTTTTTATGAAAGAAAAGGCTATTTTATACACTAGAATATTTCTGCAACGCACGAGAGACAAAGTATTCAGAGTGTCTTTTTGAAAATAAAGCCTTTGTATTCTGAATATTTCCTTTTTAAAATGAAAATGAGACTTGATTTTTTCTTTTCATATAGCATATGCAAGTCTATATATTAGGAGAAAACAAGTGAAAAAAGAGTATTTTTTTTTATGGTACATATATCCCTCCGAGGGACTATATTTTACTTTTCTAAAGACTTGTTAGTTACATTTCACCACCTCACTGGTGTAGTTCCAAAGGAATAGGTCGAGTAATGTCAACGTGGGATCTGAAGTAATGGAAATAAAAAAATATTGTTTGTGGTCTGTACTAAAAGAGCAGAACTACTTTGCTCTAGTGTTGTTTTCGTTATGAAATTTGATAGAAAACTAAACATTTGTTTCCTGCATACAGTATTATAAAAATATTTTGTAGCATATAGTAAAAAAATATTTTTCACGTAACATGTAGGAACAATGGTGAGGAAAAAAAGAGAAGTTTAATTATGCAAAATGTGTGGGCATAATTTACAGTTGCAAGTATCTACATGAAAGAGAATGTTTTATTAAAATACGAGTCATTCCCCAATTCTACGGACAGCAGCATTAATTTAGGCCTTTTATTTAAAACTGTTTTTCAAACCTTTCTTTCTACTATGTATCTACCGTGTAGGTTAAATTCTGATTCTATAAAATATTTATTTATTTTGTCAAAACCCTACACGTTCCCAATCCTAGAATTCTTCCTGATATTTAACCAGCAGACAAAGCAAAATTAATATGCTTTTTATTCTAAATATATTTTCTAGATTTGTTTTCATTTAACCTTCCTTGAAACGTCATCTACTGTACAGCGAATGCAGAGTGCCATTGCTTTAAGTATTTTAATGAAGTGATTAGAATAAATACTAACTTGTGTTAGAAAAGTAAAGAAATATGTTCCTTAAGACAGAATGGTTCCTTTAGATTATAATGAAAATTCATTCCACATTCAAATGCTTTCCCTTATGAATATCCCCTTAGAAATACAATACAATTTGCCTTTTCATTTAATTTACTGTAAGTAACTTTGTAGGGATAGTTAAAAACTCTGAATCGATGATGCTTTACACTGCACATAATTTGGGCACACACAGACACACACAAACTTGTCTCCTTCCTCAATGTTCTTCATATTCCATGTACTCTGTTGTTGGAGCCTTAACTTTTTCTTGGAAGCCCTTTGCAAGTCCAGCTGGAAGAGGTTATGAATCAGATAGGATTATCAGAAATCTTTACAGTTTTACTGTGTCTTTGTCTGTCCTTTCTTTCACCTTTCCTTTACTGCACTATCTTGTCTGTCTGATTCTCACAGGAGACATGGATTACAACTGGTTGGACCATACGTCTTGGCATAGCAGTGAGGCCTCCCCAATGTCTTTGGTGAGACATGTGGAGCCTTACCATTTAGTTTCCTTTATCATTTCACATTTCCTTAGTTTTATTTACACCTTTGCATGTTTTCTTTTTTGTATCCTTTTTTTATCCCACACCTATAGGGGACAGTCAAAAGGGAAAAAGAAAAACTAGTGAGCAGGCAGTTTTGTCGGATTCTAACACCTTATCCGAGAGGCAAAAGAAAATGGTGTGCTTTGGTGGCCACTCTTTGGAAGAGGACTTGGAATGGTCTGAGCCTCAGATAAAAGACTCTGGGGTAGATACGTGTAGTAGCACAACTCTAAACGAGGAACATAGCCATAGTGAGAAGGTACTGAGATTTTGGAGCCTGCATTTTAACCTGCTCATTTGGTCTTTGTTTGCTCTCTGTCACTCATTAAAATAGTGCATAAAATAAAAGATAGGGTGTTTCTGGAGATATTATAGCATTTCTTAAGGTGCAGAAAAGAAAAACAAATGAAAAGTCTTTGCATGCTTGCAGCTTTTACTGTTTGGCAGCCTAAGAAAAAAAATTGAGAGGCATAAAGGAATGTTGTTCTTATCGTTGCAAAATAGCATATCATGGTATTACCTTAAAGCATAAAGTAATTAACAATAAGGATTCTACCAATTGGCTTATTTGATTTATTATGTTCAAACTCCTGAGGCTGAAATTAAATTAATAGTTTAAAGCCCAGGTGAAAAAGGGAGAAAATTGGGTCTCTCTGCACAGAAAAGTTGTTTTTCTTTTTTCCCTTTCACTGTCATGGTTGTTCATTTGTTTTGTTGCCATGCGATTTTTGTGCAGTATTGTGCAGAATTAAAAGCTTTGCCATCTGCTTTGGTATATTTTATTTTTGCTTTCTGTTTGGTGGAGATTATGATAAATCTTTTTAGTGTTATTAGTTGTAATGGGAGCAGATTTATCTGTGCCTGCTAATTTTGCATGAAATAGAGCATGAAATAGTGTTTTTCTGTGAAAAAGTACTATGATTACACAGAAGAAAATCTTAAAAAATTATTAATTATGCCAATATACAAGTATAACTGTGCCCATATGTAGTAATGGAATAATAATGTTCACTGTAGCTGTGCTTCACATGTGAAGTAATTATTCCAAGAAAGAAACAGAATGTTTAAATGAAGTAATGACTATGCCTTTTAGTGTATGTTGCAATTTTCTAAAATACGACTACTGAGAATGTGAGACACTAAATATGTTTGTCGGTCAGATAAAAATTGACACGTTTGTAATAGTGGAAAAAGAAGAAATTTTTTACATCAAAGTTTTGGTTCCAGTTAAACTTCTTTTCCAGTATTACTCTTATACTAGACTTATACAGTTGTTTATCTCAGAACTCAGGTGTGATTGTCATTGTGTGCAGATAACTATGTATAGTTATATCTGTCAAATCAAGATGCAAAAATCATTCTAAATATTCACAAATTGGATTTAGTAAAATAGATAATGTTATTAAATATTAGACATACATTGTAATGAACTATATGTTCAAATAAATATTTTGCAGCACAGTTTTCTGTCATCCTATTACATTAAATATTGTTGTAATCATAATACTTTCATGGCATTTTAAAAATATATCAGGAAATGAAAAGTATTACTGAAATATTTTTCATTAAAATCCTATTCACTGTATTTTCCATTAACACCATATGATAGCATCCAGTAACTTGGCAACCATCCAAAGATGGAGATCGTCTCATTGGTCGGATTTTGTTAAATAAGCGACTAAAAGATGGAAGTGTGCCTAGAGATTCAGGAGCAATGCTTGGATTGAAGGTTGGTAATGAATAACTTTGCAACTAACTACTCTCTTGGTTAAACTAACTACCTTTGTAATAAAAATATTCTCATATTATATAGCATATGCATGAAATAGCAATAATATCTTGTCATTCTCAACATTTAAAGATAGACATTTTATATTCAATTACCTAGAGGAGTTTTACTGGGTCCTTGGCAGGCTCAAAAATTGTATTTTTCTGAAAGACTAGATGTGTTTTCACAAGTATTCTGAAAATGTGTTCTTAGCAAAGTACTAATTGCATCCTTGCTAGGCAAGCCAAGTCCCGTCTTTGCTCTTCAGTATTGAGCATTGCACCATGGTACAATGCCTATTCCCCAAACGAGAGGAGAAAAGTGAAAAATAAATTATGGATCTTGAAGACCAGGGGGACATCTGCAAATTAATGACATTTCAATACAGATCAGAGTCTGCCAATGTAACGGCCTCTTTCTGGATTTTTCTCTCTTCTGATTGTTTGATTTGCCACATTTAAAAAACACAAACCAGAAAGTTATTTAATATTTATTGATTTTCATCATGAAATAATGTATTCACCTCTTTTTCCTATATTCACCTCTTTTTCATGATGCAGTGCTCTTTAAACGTTATGATGTTATTTCTAGCTCACATTTTGATCTCAGTTTTGTGTGATACTAGTATTTGCAGTTCCAGAAATACTAGTACAAGAATGAGACTGAATTATACAGAGTGAAAGAAACAAATATATATTTATTTTGATTCCACATCCCTGTTGTGAGAAACTATTAAGAAGTTTTAATTTTCAGTTCTCTATTTAGCACAACTCTTACTTCACTTTGGATATGCAGATTAGGCTATAGTCATATCCTATTAATAGGGATTAAATCAGTCTAGTTACTTATAACATATACTAACACGCTTTGGAAATATTTGAATTTTTTTATTTAATTGACAGATATTTTTGTTTGAAGTCAGTGGACAAGCCATTTGGACATCAAATTTTGTGTTTATTTTTTCTTAATATCAGAAAATGCAAGAGAAGCGACTAACAGTACCATTAAGAGACACTTTTTGTTTAAACATTTATATTAAAATTTCTAAAGTCTTGTATTATTAAGATGAACTCTTCACTGAGATTCATTAATAGTTCAGATTTAAGAGTACACTGCTTTTTAATCTCAATAAACATCTGAAAAGAGTGATCAGCAGTTATTCCTGACCTCTATTTTCAAATATTTACATATTGAAAGTAAACTAAACTGAATTTAATATTACAAATTTTAAATCACAATGTGAAGACTGTTAAGAAACTTTCAGAATTTGAAAATTATGCAGTTATGACCGATTCTGAAGTGAATCTCCTGATTCAAAGATAAAAAGGTTAAACCTCCTGAAGTTTCCTTTAGAGAAATATTCAGAATGACAAGTATTTTCATCTGACTTGCCCAACCAAAGGGAATTTCAATTATTGAGACGTTTGATGCTTAGTGTGAACATTGTGAGTTCTGTTATATTAATATAACATTTTCCAGTTAAAAAAATAATGAAGTAAGCAGTCTATTGACCAACACCTTACAATGCTTTGGGTGACAATTTATAATACAATGAAATACTATGCATGTATTTGCTAAAATTTATAAGCTTTAGCATTCTGTATTTGCATTGTTTTTAAATTGTACTAATCTCCAAATTAGCTATAAAAATAGCTTGTCATAGCCAAAATTCTGTTGTTTTTTTCTAAGTGCATCTGCCTTATCTGAGCTACATAAAACCTAAGGAAAAAACTGAATAATTCTTTCTGTTGCCAGAACATTTAAGTAATTTAAAGTAATTTTCATTCTATGAAAATATTTCCTCTTTGAAACAGGTAGTAGGAGGAAAGATGACTGAATCAGGTCGACTCTGCGCATTTATCACCAAAGTTAAAAAAGGAAGCTTAGCTGATACAGTGGGGCATCTTAGACCAGGTATGTATCTACTACAGATCTATACTGCAGATTTGCTTTTCTGAAGGTGATAACAAGTGAGCAAGTTTAATTAGGTATGAAATTATGTTAAATAGGTCTGATGAAATACTGCAGAATTCAACCTGACATTCAATTACTAGACCATTGCTTTTGTGAAATATATATATATTCTCATGTTGTTTAAAAACTATTTTAAAAATTTTGCTCATGATAATATTCCATTGATATCCTGCCCAGTCAGTGTGTGGTGTATATTTTATTTAGAGAAAACCAAGCTATTACAAATGTCTGAGCAGAACCAGCTTGGCTAGGAAGCTGCTTCTGTCCCAACATGCAAACCATAGATTGCTAGATTGGAGAATGTTCAAGAAATATTAACTTTTATCATAAAAACTATCTGAACCTTAAACTTGTAGAAGTAAATGGATCTTTAAAACTGTAAGTTGATGAGATATGCTGTTCTAAAGATGTGAATTTTCTGAAGAGCCACAGCTGTCAAAGTGAGTCCGAGCTGTGTCTTACTCAAAAGGGGTCCTACTGACAATATTATTGTTTCACCAAACTTTACGTATATAAAGCATAAACCTTTAATACCCAGAATTTTCCTGCATGAAGGAGTTCAAACTTGTTCTACAATACAAGTTTCCCAATCCAGAAAAATGACAGTAGAATGGCTTAAATTGTCATTGTAAATGCATTCCATAACAAACTTCCTAAGCATAGTGTTATTACTGAAATTTCAGGTGATGAAGTGTTAGAATGGAATGGAAGACTACTACAAGGAGCCACTTTTGAGGAGGTATATAACATCATTTTAGAATCCAAACCTGAGCCACAAGTGGAGCTTGTAGTTTCAAGACCAATAGGGTAAGTAATGTCATGATTTTTTGGTATTAAACATGATAAAAGTATTGCTAAATTTCCCTTTCAGGGCAGAGATATCAAACATTCATAAACACTATAAACAGTAAAACTTTTAAGCAGAATTCAGTAAATCAAGAGCATAGCTAGAATGATAGATCATATCAGTGAGTAAAAAGAGCTGGTGTGAAATCCTGTATTCTCTGAGAGAGTCCCAGGCATTATCTGCTAGGTTCCCTTCTGTGGCTGTTCAGTTGGTGATCCAGCTTATATTGGCTCTTTAACTGTGGTTATACTTGTTGTTGTAATTCTTAACTGTTCATTCTTATTTTTCTATTTTTTTATAATATATATCCTATATAATTATATATCCTATATAATTATAGGATCATATTTGGTCTCTGGACTGATTATGAACTCTATTTATTGGGAGTCAGCAATGTAGAATTTTCCACAAAATGCAGTATGCTAATGGCATAATCCATATGCTTCAGAAAGTCCTATATCCAAATTTGCATCATCTTCATCTATGGAATCTATTAAATTATTGCTTGTTATCTACTACAGAACATATCTGAATGAATAGCTAGGACTGTGTGGGACTTTTTCTTCGGTGCTTTACATTGACTATTTTTCTTATCCTTCAAACCTATCTCTCAATGTCTAAACTTAAATTTTTCTTGCATAGCAATAGTAGCTTTGTTATATTAGACTGTATCTTCTTCATCTGTTCTTTTTCTTCCAAGTTCCTACATGCTAAGGTCATATCCATCACTTTTTTACTCCATTGGAAATTCTATATCTGATCACACCAGGGCTGTGAAGAGGGGAATGTTTATCACTGAATTTGAAGATACAGTTGTTAAGAGTTTTCTTTTTTCCCCCTCAATATTTATTGTGATGTACATGACACAACTGAACAGGGTGCTAAGTAATCTCACCTAGGCTCCCTTTTCCATGTGAGGTTGGACTAGATGATCTTTCAAGATCACTTCCACCCTGGGCTGGAAGGATTCTATAATTATATTTTAATAAATATATTTATCCCTTTATTTGTACACGATGCACACAATTATCATACCTTTATATATGAAAGCATGGGTAACATAACAACTAAAAACTGAGAAGTACTAAAAAATCTAGAACCCTATAATATGAGAATGGAATTTCAGTGAGGATAATTTGTTATTGTTTCAGCTATAGCAGGAATTTAATATTTTTGACACATCAGGAACTTAACATGTAGGGACTTAATTTGGCATGACAATTTTAAACAAACTTGATAATAACAATAACTGTTTTATCTTGTCAGTGATATGAGAGATTATTTCCCACAAACATATGGAATTGCAACCCCTTTAGGGTAAAGCCTGTATCATCTGTCCTATCCTTTAAAACCTTTGCATAATTTGGGAGTTGTAGGTATAATAGTAATGCTAAGGGACAGACTACATTACTAGAAGAATACTGTTACAGAAAAAGAGAACTCAAATTCATAGAGGTGTAAATCTTTCATAATATCTCTCAAACAGAAGTTTGTAGGAAAATTTCAAGGAACCTTTCACTCATGTCTTGAAAATACTAATTTTTTTTAGCTTTCTGCATTCTCTTCATTGTGTGAAACCTCCAGCATTCTTTCCTGTGCTTTTATATTTGCTGTCTGTTGTTTACCTTCCTTATCATCATGTCTTCTGTTATGTTACCATGTGCTCCACTTGCTATCACTAGACCAGCTCCACTGTAATTCCTTACACGAAGTGATGTGGGCTCTCAAGATACCTTCTTCCACACTAATGGCTTGCCTCATAGTCTGAAGAACTGAGAGATCAGTGATCAAGCAGTTGTTCAGTGTATTTGCTTCCCAGTGTCTTTTTGCAGTAGGTGTAAAAGTCTCAGTGATGAATTCTTTGCACAAATTGGTAAGGTTTTAGAATCTGGTTAGGTGTGTGTAACTATTTGGAGTCTGATATTGACAACTTCAGAAATGTCTTTCATGAGATTCGAGCTGGTGAACTGGAAAGACTATATTCGCTTCTCAGTTTAGAAGATTTCAGTTCATAATCGAATGGACAATAGAAATTAATACCCTGTGCTTGCCCAATGAAACATAACATCATATGTTTGTGTTCTGCCCGAGGAAATAAAGTTTCAATGTATTTAAAATCATTAAAAGTTTGTATTTGCCAGGTGTCAGAAGCGATATTTATTTCAATTAGAATAATTACTACCTGATTGAAGGATTTCATTTTGCATTGAGATCTATCCTATTACTTAAAGAGTCTGTTAATGGTCTCATGGCAACACACTAAATCATGCCAGAAGTCTTCAGTTACTGGCAGTTAACCTAGCTGAGAACCTGTTGTCACATCCCGATATTCTGAGTACAAAAAAAATTCCAGTAAACGCAATTCTTAGTTCTCTTTATTATAGGCTGAGTGCTATGAAAACTGAAAATGACAAGATAAACTGATAAAGGCAGACAAAATGGAAAGCTGTTTTACAAAAACGCAACAGCACAAAACATTCCATTTTGCCATGCTATTGACCCCTTTTTTCCATCTTAAATTGATGGCCAAGTTGCTATTAGTGTGAGCTGGCTGTTCCTTATACACAAGAACTTACATATTTTTTGCTTTCTAATTCTCAGAAATCATTAATTTGAAGTGCATGTTGTTTTCATGGTTTCTACTATTTTTAATTTGGTAGAAATGGTGCACTGTGATTTAATAATTATGCTATACAATCTGCTTGCAGTGAAATGTATCTTAAAATGCAAGATGTCTGAAACTACTTCTGCTTCTCCTACATCTATTTATCTCAGTGAGAGTTCCTTGTGAGAATACCATTCACACTACCTTGAAATATTGGGATCTTTATGCTTTAGAAACAGTGTTCAAAGCTTTCAAGCTTATTGTTTCAGCTATCTCTAGAAAACTCATATTCAATCTGTTCACAATGATATTTATATGTTTTCATGATTTTATTTTCAAACTCATATGATAGAAATACTTTTTTGAAATTATGAGTTAAGCTAAGGAATGTGTTTCTGATTAAAGTAATAGGCGAGTATTGGATCCCTTTATAAATTCTACACATATCAAATACTCAAAATTAAATCTTTGCTTCTTCAATAGCCCTTGTGAGTTCTGACAAATTTTGTTTACTAAAAACAGAGGTTTATCCTTGTCTGCAGTGAGCATTTAGAGCAGTTGCCTGCCTTCTGATTTGCTTGAATTATTGGATACTTGTGCATCAACTCACTCAATCTGCTTAGTAAAGGTGTTTTTCTAGTGAGTCTGGAAAAATGTTTGGAAAAGGTATACTGAAGGTATACTGGAAAATCTATACTAAAGGAAGTAGATAAGTTTTATTTATATATCATACAGACTCTTTTTTCCATTGTATGAGACAGTAGATAGAGATCACTGCAAGCATTTTTCATTGACCTTTGCGGGGAGTTGATCTTGACTGAGCACCAAACACTCACTCTCTCCTTTCCCCTCCACAGAAGGACTCCTCAAAGGGAGGAAATAAGATGGAAAAGAATAGGATAGTGAGAAATAAAACCAAAACTGAATCCACCTTACCCTTACCTCCCTTCTTCCCAGGCTCAAATTCACTCCTTTGTTCCTGGTTTTTCTGCCTCCTCCTCCACCCAGCAGTGCAGAGGATGGGGAATGGGAGTTGCGGCCCAGTCCTCCTCCCCCTCCTTCTTCCTTGACCTTGGTGTCTGCAGGGATGTTTCTTTCATGGCTTTTTTTTCTCACTATTTTCTCTCACAGCTGCCACACAGCTGTTTTGCTCTTTCTTAAGTATGTTGTCACAGAAGCACAGCTGCCGTGGCCAAGGAGCCACTGGGACTGGCTGTGCCCGGCACGGGGCAGCCGACGCTACCAGCGCAAGGCACCGGCACCCAGCGCAGCCTGGAAGAAACCAACTGTGCTGAAACACACCACCTGATTTTAAATAGTGTTGCTGCTGAAACTCTTCATCTTGCTTGGTTTCGCTCAAGTACCTCTGAAATTATTTATTAATCATATTGATAGTTTTTATTAGCATACAGTAACGTTTGCCCCTCAGAGGAAGAATATGTTCCTTGGCAGGATGTGGGTGTGGTTGGGTGCTCATTCATTGCCACCGAATGCTTTAAAATTACATGGCTGTGCACACAATTTAATACAGGTGTTATATACATGTCCTGTATATTCAAGTAAGCAATTCTGCCAAATGAACTTGTACATTTTATTTAGTAATGGAAAAAGTAAGATTACTCAAATTCGGGGTTCAAGGACAGTAAAGAAGGTACCAGGAAAGCCATTACTGGCAGTTGAGTATATTTGAGTGAGGGTCCAGTAATTTTCATTAATGTATAATGTCATCATAAGATTTACTACTCACAGTTTTACTCTGTCATTAACTCTGAGATTGTTCTTTCATCTACTGAATTATTTTGTTTGTGACTGTGCAGCCTTTCTCCTGTGTTCACCAAACCAGTTGTTCTGTGGAATTTAATTTGACACTGAAATTATTTATACTGGGATAAGAGATGAATCATCCTAGTGGCTGAAGACAGCCACCAGATCATACACCTTTCCTGAGGCATTCCATGTTGGATTGAGAAGTGTTATAGTGTAACTGAAATTTGAATATGCTTGTTAGATAAAGGATCAGCCTGTCTTAATTTTCCTGATTTCAGGGACATTCCCAGAATACCTGACAGCACACATGCACAGCTGGAGTCCAGTAAGTTTCAATTGTGGGGTAGGAAAATCTTCTCTCTCTTTTATGTAAGCAAAAATAGATTGAAAAATGTAATCAGCAGTCAGTATAGCTCTTGTCTCTTTGTCTGTATTTGTCTCAATATGTCATCTTATTGTATTATCTATCTACCTTTGTTTGATAATAAGCTATCAAAAGTCAGGATATTTTGATTTAGGTTTGACAATTGGTTATAAGTTTACACTGGCTTTGATTGAATAAAAAAGCATAATTCTAAGTAATATATAAGAACATTAGAAGCAATTTGTAATTTCCTGTTTTGTTGTTTTGCATTTCAAATGAATCTTATAAATTAAAAATGGGAAAGAAGTATTTCATGTAGGGAAAAATAACTTGTTCTTTGGCTTAAATCTAAGAAGATGGATTTCAACCTGAAGTTATTTTTTATCATTGGTTTAGAACTCTATTATAATAAAAACCATGAATAAATGAAGTGGCGTAATCTTGATTGTAATAATATGAAAAACTCATCCAATGACTTTTTACTCATCAACCAACTATTAAAATTCATTTTATGTTTTGTGAGATGTGGATTGTCTTTTGTATTTATAAAAATACTTTACTTTTGCTCTATGTTTTATATGTCAAAACTTGTCCTCTGTCTCTTTGCAGATCTTGTAGATTTGAAGCAAAATGCACATGAAACATTACATACATCTTAATATTTTTGTGAAAATCTAATTCAAATTTAGTCTGATTATATAAGATAATAAGTCAGAAGACTGACTTCCTTTGACCATAGTAAAGTGTTTATTATTTAGGAATTTTAGGCCTTCAACTTACTGACATAATTACAGTCAGAAATATCTGAATAAACTATTTTCCGTTCTATGAATAAAAGCTTTTGATTGCATTTGAGCACTGAAAGACTGAGTATCATTATTTGGTAATTTTAAATAGATTTAAAAAAAGTGATATTTGTGTTTGGTTACTTTTCTAAAATTTTTATTTAAAGAATGTTGTGAAAAATGCATAACTGCTACTATTTATAAAATATTTTTGTTTATAATTACAGGTTCAAGTTCATTCGAATCTCAAAAAATGGACCGACCTTCTATTTCAGTGACTTCTCCTATGAGTCCTGGCATGTTAAGGGATGTTCCACAGTTCTTGTCTGGACAACTTTCAGTATGTAAACATTTAATTGATATTAATGTGCTTTTTGCAGCATATACAACTCTAACTGTAGTGCAAGCTACCTCTAACAGAAATTTTTTGTTAAACTAGCTCAATTTTTTTGTTTAATGCTATATATCTCAGTGTAGGTGGGACCATAATGCCATAGGTGTATTCCATTTTATTAGCTTTTGGAAATTTTATATAAGTTGAATTGGATGTATACATGTATAATTGTCTGGTAAGCTAGACTGGTAGAGTCAAATTTTCAGAAAGGTCTAATTTTGGCCTCCAGTTATATTTGTACTGTTGAGTGTAAACATTTTTTCAACTATCACACTTACATGTAGATTCAGTAGATTTTATTACCTGTGTGCTTGGACATTAATATTGCTCATTTCTTATGCACTAACTTTCATATATGCCTTCCCCAAGTAACCCTTTGATATTTTACTAATGCTGTATTTTTTGTACCAGTGTTACTTTTGTTCTACGCTTTCATTGACAACAAAGTTCATTACATGAATGTTTCCTTTTAAAGGGTAATTTTTTGTTCTAAACTGAAAAAGTTGGGTTTTGTACACCTTTCCATGTTATTTACAATTACAAAGTGTGATTTTTCAAAAGTGTTCAGTTGTGGTGCAGCTTACATTGAAAAGGAAAGATAAATGGAATGGAAGCAGTGCAAAACTGGTGTTAAACAAGTTTGGAAATTCCACATTCATTTTACTTCCAAGTCGTATATGTTGAGTGTGCCATAAAAATATGCATAAAATCTAAGCAGACTGTTTATAGGTCTCACAGAAATATTCTTCTGTCTCTTCAGTGACCTGTGTTGGCTCCATTTTGCAGTGCATGAGACATTATTTGTTTGCTCATCAGAACAACCAATACATAATTTTTAATTTTCTGTAACTGTTGTATTTTACTTTGAAAGACTCAGTCCTTTGGATGAATGGAAAACTAGAAATCTTGACTGTAGAGTGCAGAATGCTTTGCACAAAACACAATGACAAGGCAACACAAACATGAACGGTGAAAATAAACAGACCAAGGCTTCTAAAAACCCTTTTAGCTTTAGAAGACAGAAAAATTGTTGGTAGTGAAGACAGGGAGGAAAGAAACTTCTTTTGTCTAAACGTTGTAAAAGATTATGCTGTCAAAAAGTTTTGGTGCCTAGTTCCCACCAAGAAATTCAAGGTCCATAGTTAGCTGCTCAGATGACCAATGCATACACACTGTGGAATGATGGTCCAAATCTGAACCACACAGAACTGACTTTCTCACTTTCTTGGTTTCAGATAAAAATCTTCATGAGTTTAAGATTAGGATTTACTAGTAAAATCAGTAAGTTTGTTGATTTAGTGGTTTGATAGGACACTGCAGTATTGGGAAATCTGGAGATATGTTCTGGTTTACTGAGAATAACAGAAATCCCAAGGTTTCATTTCTCAGAATGGCATATAAATTCAGTGTTTAACTCAAGAAGGCACAATTCCTATTTCTATTTATTTTTGTTTGTTTCAACATAAAAATATCTTTACTAATAAGTTTAATTCCATCTAAGGAAACCAAATAATGTTAAGAGACATTCAAAGATCTTTCCTACATTTGGTACTTTCTTATGAACTGTTTGCCATTACATACAATACTTCCTACTACATATTATCTGTGTTTCCCTCAGAGAGCAGCTGATAACTGAGAACCAAAGATCTAGCTGACTGACACTGAAGTTAGAAATGCTCTGTAACTCTAATGTTGCAATTTAGACATCTAAGATTAGTAATGGCCAGTCTTCGCGAGCGAAGATTTGGGAAAGGTCATTAACCCTTCGAGCCTGCGCAGTGGATTTTTTAGTTGAGACACAGCGTGCGCTGAACTGAGCCCACCCTTTAATCCTGAGGTTCATCTGCCGGGGCCAAGCACGCTTGGACAGTGGCAGTGAGGGTCTCAGGACGTAGGTTTGTTTAGAGTGACCTTCTCTTAGATGGATTGCCTCACAGGGCTGACGAGCTCCATTGCCCGGGGGACCGGGAATCGAACCCGGGTCGCAGCGGTGAGAGTCCTGCACCCTAACCACTAGACCACCAGAGGCCCCATCTAAGATTAGTAGACATCTACAAAACAGACGTTCTTCAGTATTTTGGTTTTCTCGGTTTTAATCAGTTGTTTTCTAACAGAACGATCGATGGATCACATATTCATTACAAATAGCTGATTAAGATAGAAATGAAAGGAAATACTAAATTCCAAATGCAATTGTGAATGTGGTCTTTATGGTGAGTGCCTAGGCAGGAGAATAACTACAGAACCCTGTCAGTAAAGGGGGACAGGATGCTGTTCTTTGTGGAAGAGGCAGGTCAGTGACATTCTGGGTAATGGTGGCTGAATTCAGACAGGTGTAATGAATTTGAGGGATAAGATTTTGGAAGTCTTTTCTGTATTTTCTGTTCTTTTGGACAATAGCATGTAGTCCTGAAGGGCTGTTGTTAGGGCAGCTGTGGTTTATAGGTTGCAAAATACAAGAGTTTTGGGCAGAAGTGGAGATACTACAGTTCAGATGGAGATCTGAAGTAATAGAATACTTCGATATATGCTTTCTTATTCAGACAGTGCTATAGATCCTTAAAAGATTTTTATATATTAATTGTATTTTGGAATGTGTTTCTTTGTGTTCAGAATGGTTTTAGTGAGTTTAGCTGCAGTGATGCCTCTAGTATTCAAGGATGTCTTTGTCAATTCAATCTTCCATATTCTTCTCTGTATTGGCATTGGTCTGTGCACCTGTTTTCTTCGGTTGAGGTTACAGTGACGCTGACTAATAGGATTGACAACAAAGTAAGCCATCTCACACAGATAGGAAATTTTCTTTACATTAATGATTATTCTGCTCAAATACATATTTAATTGAACAAACGATGTGCAACTTCAGTAAACTATTGTGTGTTATAACTTACTAAGGTATAGAAATAATTTATCCATATTCTCTTCATTTTATGGCACTTTTTATCCACATTGTTCTTTCAGGGGAGTATCTGACTGTTATTGCAATTATAGTTTATTATTATTTGCTTTGTCTGCTTCCTGTTTCTGTGTTTTTTCACTGACTTGTTTTTCCTTTAATATCATTTTGAAAAAGTCAAAAGTATTCTTTGTGTGTTGGTGCTCTTAGCTTCATTACTGCATTTTGGCTACTTTTTCATTACTGCATGAAAAGTATAACTTGGAATGCTTTTGCAATAATGAATATTAACGTAACTAGAAGACCATGTAAATTGAACTAAGCATAAAATCACAATACTTAATTTCTGTGCTGGCAGAGATTCTAACAGAAAAAGGATGTTATTTATGAGATTAATCAAGTTTTTTGTACACCTGAACCATAGGACCACTTCAATAGATTTTCCATATATATTCAGTTTATAAAGCAATAAAAATACAGTTATAGAAATAATAGTTATAATATCTGTAGTATATTGGAAAGTGTTTATTGTACATTGTGAAGGGCATATATGTCAGCACATTGAGGGGATGAGATTAGTATGAGACATGCTTCCCTTACTCCTTTCAACTTTTCCCCTTTCCCCTTTGTTTCCCCTCCCCTTTCTACCTCTATGCAATTAAATTGCTGTTGCTCTAACATCAAAACATGAAAAGTTCTAGGTAGTGCACACAAGATGCTTATTGCTCTCCATTTCCAAGGCAGAATATGACAGCTGAGGACCCTTGGTGTGTGGTGGGAGATATGTCTTAAGAGATGTCCCTCTTAGGATTGCATAATTCTGGAATATCTGTTTTTCCCTTGTAAAATGGAGCAGAAGCAAGCTGAAGATCTACTTTTATTGTATGTGAGTAGGTCACATTCTAGCAGCCATACACCCGGCTCTGCAGTCCTGCCCATGCATCGTGGGGGGCACCTCACAGAGCACAGGGAGCACAGCAGACAAAACCTGTGATCCAGACTGTCAAGTTTTCTTATCTATCCTCTTGCTTTGGTGTAAGAACAGATTACTTCACACATTTTATGGAACAGATTTCTCCAGCATCTGTGTGTGCCAAATAAGCAAGGAGGGTGGCAGAAGCATCATCACGCTGCCTATCTCCATGCTTTGGGTACATTTCTTATGGAAGTGAATATTGAATAGTAGCTTCTTTGTATCATTTTGAGTTAGATCAATAATCTCGGGAAAACTGAGCAGGGAGATAAAGAGATTCCAGTCTGTCAGATGCTGTCCGTGCTCCTGGTCTCCCACTCGCTGGCCCTCTGAGGTATCAACGTGTGCTCTGGTTCGTGTTTACACCTCATACTTTGTACCAGTTCTGTGCCACTCCATTGGCTGTTGCCCTAAACGAAGGATGGAGAGCAGTTGCTTGGAATTAGTATTTTGGAGTGTTTCCTGTGCTAATGTAGTCTTGAGGTAGCCACTGGAAGCCACAAGGTTGTATGTGGTCTGAATAGTTACATCACAGAAATAAGAGTTATAAATGTGTCTATCTATGCAGTTTGCTAAATGCTCTAGATGCCATTTCATGCAAGGGTTTTCTGTGTATACCATATGTCATTTCTGTCATGATTGCTAGAGAATTGAAATACATAGATTGTATCTTCCCCCAGGTAATGCTAATACCAGAGAGCACTAACTTTCTTTTAATAGTTCTAAAATTATTTTGGAGGGTTTTTTTATAGAGATACCTTTTAATGTTGCAGAGAAGAGAAAACCTTTTACTTTACTTGCTTTACTTTACAAAGCAACCAAAGCTGTCAGTGCATGTACTGTGCTTGTTTCTCTCTGAATATGCATCTACAATCTTTCTGAAAGATGTGATTAAGCTTTAATTATGTTTCCAACCCCACTTTTAAATCACACTTTGCTGACCTGTTCTTTTTGTTACATGTTATTTCTAAATCTATTGTAAATGTGAAGAGAAATCCTTGCTCCTGGGGACTCAGTGGTAAAATTCCTGCTGACTTCCCTAAGGCAAGAATTTCCAATACAGGGTTTTGATATGATTTGGTAACAGATTTGCAGATTTAATTTATGCATTGCACTAAAATACTTTGTGTTAGATAAATATGTTGTTGGTGTAAAGCTGTGTTTAAAGTAATAGTTGTGTGTCTTTGTTTTTACTTTTGGTCTTTTAGTTTCCAGCGTGTTGTCCTTTTTGGTTTTGTTTTATTGCTTTTTCTTTAATTTTGCTTACCAGAGCCAAAGCCTTAGTAGAAGAACAACGCCTTTTGTTCCTAGGGTTCAGGTAAAGACTTCGTCTGCCTGACAGAGACTAAAGTTGTGGGTTTTTCTTTTGTTTGTTATGGAAAATGCATAGCAGGAAAACGTTACATTATAGTCCGTTTTCCCATATTTTAAGTGTGTTTCTTTAAATCATATTAACAACTTTCATGTCATCTTGTGAGCAGCCTGTAAAATTCTGCATGGGGGTGAAAATATTAAGTTAAAATTTAAAGAGACAACTAGTTTTTGTTTGATTTCTGCCCAATATTGAACTCATACAGGTTTCAATAGCGACGATGGCTATGCATCCCACATATAAAATCTGTGTACTGTTTAAGCAATAAATAATTTTGTGCTTGAGGTCATTATATAAAGATGAATGTCTCTTTAAATCATTCATTACTTAACACATACATTTTGCATTTTCCAAATAATAGTAGCGCCTCAAGTAGAAGATGGGCAAAAAATTTGTACCTTGTTTAAAGAAACAAATTTCTTGTGTAGGAAACTTGGTTCTTGCATTTTAAAGTACATCAAAATAATCAAAACCTTACTTGAATAAAAAATGAATTATCTCATGCTATTGAATTTATTTTGGTTCGATATTCTGTTTAGGTACAAGTTGTTTGCCTTTTTCATTAGGAAGCTCCTAAAGTACTATAGATTAATGCAAAAGTAGGTTTTACTAATATGTTACAATGCTTATCTTGCTTTGCTGCATGTTTTTTTGTAAATAGTATATTATCTGCTTTTCTTACAAAATATCTTTGTGGAGTTGTTAATGCTTCTCTGGTTTGATCAATTGCTCAAGGAAAGATGTAAAGGATGACCTAAGTGATCAGAATGAGATGACCAAATTTCATATTGAAATGGAAAAGTGATCATAAATACATATATTTATAAAGGGATTGGAAATAAGAATCTAAATAAGATATCAAATATGACTCGTAAAGTTCATCTTTTTCAGAAAAGTAATCCTTACAACTGCTTAAATGTAAATTCAAAATAAAGAAATCTAAGGGGAAAAAAGAAATTAAAAAAGTAATGTCTTGATAGTATTGTTTAAGGTTAATATATTACTATATACTATTGCCATAAACTCTCTTTGTATGAAAAATTAAAAGTATCCCCTAGCATGATTAAGAAAGTTAGGTTCTGCTCATGATAGTGAAATCAGAGGGGTACAATCACAAGCTGTTAAGTAGTTCATAGAGGTAAATATTGTATATGACATAAGTAATCTTTCAATATTTATTTTCTTTTTAGATATGTGCTAAATAAATTAAGAAATGATATGACAGTTGATTGTTCAATTTAAAAAGAAAACATCTTCTTGAAACCTGCATGTTCATGAAATACTGTAATGTAGAAATAACATGTAGTAGTACCTTATTTTAATCATATTATATAAAATAAATACACATAAAAATTGTCCGTTCTACTTAGACTAATATCCTTTAATGAAAAAAAAATTACCTTGTTCAAATGATTATGGTAGTCATTTGAGAAAATAGAAGAAATGTAATGTTTGATGGAGAATATCCAACAAGAACTGAAAGTGTATGAGGCTTACTATCTCACCTCTGGTTGGATTATTTTGATATTGTAGATAAGAATTGTCTTTAGCCCCAATTTTGCTTCTACACAATGCCCGTGGAGTCCTTGTGGACCTCTCTAATGTTTTGGTTTTTTTTTTAAAGCTCAGTAACAGTCAGAGCTAAACATACGTTTTTTGACAAGAGTTCCTGAAAAACTCAAACTTATGACCTTGGCAATATCTTTACAACTAGATTAAAACAAAAAGTCATCCATTTGTCCACTTTTAGTAGGGATGGTAGGTAGCCTAAAAAGGATTAATGTAAGATATATTTATCATGCAGACTGCAGAGAAGAACAGGAATTCTCCAGTAGTCTTTAAACAAGCAGTCCAGCAGCAGTGCAGAATTCTAGTTACTTTTTGGCATGACAAATTCACTTACTCAGAGGTCTGAGCTGCTGTTTACAGTTGTCAGGAAGTATACATTTCATTGTGGGCTGTGGTATAGCTGTGTCTGTAGAATTGCTTACAAGAATGAGGATCTCCAAACTTTCTGTTTATACCTATTTGTTTCATTGCTCTGAACAGGAGATGCACGTCTTTATTCTTGCTTGTATCTTCTTTACTCGATAGTCTAAAACTGATACTTTCTGGCAAAAGTTCCTCTCTCACACTTATCTCTATCATTCCATTAGTTTTCGAGCTCTTGTGTCACTGGATGATTTCATAGAATCATCATTTTTTGGCGGGGGGAAGAAAAACACTCAAATCCTTTTTTTTCCCTATCATACACCCTTCTCATCTTTTACTAATTTCACAGTACTTGGAAAAGTGAGTATTTATTTCCTGAACTTCTAGATTCAGTTTAGCATACCAGCAATTTTCAAACTTGCAAAGTGATGCTTTGTGACATCTTTGCAGGGAACAATCTGTTCTTACATTTGTGTTGTCTATGCAGTATCTCTTGTTTACTTGGTGGAGCCTCTTTTTGAGCCACAGTTGCCATGAGACCACTGGTTTTTTTCTAACTTCAAAAATTTCAGACATCCTTTTTGCTTTAATACAGAACATCATACAAGTTTTTCCATTTGACAGCCTTTTCTTGTACTTTTTCCATCATATCAGATGGCAGCTAAAGCAGATAATAATAACAGTTTGATTTGGCAACCCTCAGTAGTCAGAATTTGTTAGAGGTATGCTTAACAATATCCAGAGCCTATCTCAGCTATGCTGTTTCCAATCTACATAAGCTTAAGTCCAGTAAAATGATTACTGTATGCATTTTTAAAAATAAACTGAGATTTCTTTTTTTTTCAACAACATGTCCTGCTGCTATATCTCATTTCAGAATAATGTGAGAAAGAATGTAGTATCTCAGTTTCAAAATATTATACTAATAAACAACTATGTAGGTTACATGTAAAATTATAATGAGCAACAGAACAAAAATATCTGGCCAAATCTCTCTCAAACTCAGTGATGTTTGAGCAGGCTGTGGTGGTAAAAATTAGCTGCAGGGCAGACTGTCTAATAAACTGAATTTATGTCCTTAATTTATGTAGCTTATACTAGCTTCAAATAAGTCTGAGGTGCCTTAAGGAGGATCTTTGACTCGTACAGTTAAAGAGAGGAACTAAGTACCTCAATGCATGCATGAGTGATCAACCCAAATAAAAGGCAACTAACCCCATTAATGCTATTTGAAAGTTAGGCTACTCCAGAGGGTGAGTTGATTCTCCAGGAGGCATTTTCTGAGGCTACAGAGGACCAACCTTTCCTATTCTGTGATTCTGTGAAAAAGGAATACTATATATACTAGATAACTGCATCCTGACTTCTCAGAATGCAATGCCAGCAGTCAGCTTTTGTATACTGTTGTATGTGTAGTAAGCTCATTCCAGAGACACGACATCTGCTGTTTAAATACTGTTTAGACTGGAGAGTTTGAACCTGTCTCTCAGAAGAGTGCCTTTATCATCAAGCTATTCCACATCCCTTTCTTCTCTGGAGTGTGAAGTCTCATCTGAAGCTGAGATACTGTTTGGTTAGGAATATAAGTTTGTGGTGTTATCAAAGCAAGCTTAATTTTAGCATAGCGGGTTCCAGATCTGCTACCCATAATGAGTATTGCTCTTGTATTAGACCACTGTGAGATAAGAAATAGAAAGAATCATATAAAGCTGAGACCAGACCCTCAACTCCGTTTCCCTCAATCATCTGACTGCAGAAAAGTTATTTCCTGCCTTCTGTGTGGCAGTTATTACCTGGAAGCCTGTCTCAAGGAGTGCAGCAGATGCACTGCTCTGTGAATAACAGACCATCTCACAATTTCAGCACGCGTTGAATTTAGATGCCTGTTTGTCTGAATGTAGGTTACAGCAGAAGCTTTAGTGAAGCATTAAGTGCATGTCTGGCTGGCAAAGGAGCCTGGGGGAGGAAAGTATATGAGCATGTGAGTAGCAAATAAGTTTCCAGGATCTCACTGCTAAGTGGGAAGATCTTCAGAAAGCATTCAGGTTGGATCACTTTCGAAGTGAATTTTAGCTGCCTACATCCTAAATAATCTAGATGGACGATGTCCTATTCACGAAGAATTTTTACAGGTGTTAGCCTCCAGATTAGCATTAGCCAGCACAATTTTTTCTGTGGCACATTTTATGTATTGTAAATTTAGCTTTCCCTTTCCTTAGTTTAGATAAGGATTGCTTTGCTTCAGTTTCTTAGATCTTCTAAGCTTCTAAAAGTATGTATGTAAAAAATTGCTGAATTGAGGTTATGTAGATTCTGTGCTGTTGGTCAGCTACTTAAGTCTTTCACTGCTGACCATCACACCTGTACATTTTTGTGGGACTTTTACTCTATGGTCTTTACTTTTTGGTGTCAGGCATTTTTTCTACCACTTAACAAAACTATAAAACAAACAAACAAAAAAATTCTTCATCAACTTTTCTGTTATATGTGTGCTATCCTGTGTTTATTTCACAGTGTGAAACATTTATAGTGTACTGTGAGATGTGTTAGGATTGTCCTGTATTTATAGATTAGGAATTGAGAAAATATGATCAGAGTCTGAGACAACCAGGTTCTGTCCAAACATTAGAAGCACCTCAAACTTCAATTCCAATGCTTTACTTAGCACACAAATCAGGGTCCAGGATTTCATACCAGGCTTCTAGACACCAAAGAACATGCAATTGTAAATGCTTTTAAAAATATCTTAAAGGGATGCACCCTTTGATACACAAGAGCTCTGGGAAAGTGGAAGGGATGGAATCCAGTCCTCTTGGACTGCACATGGCTGTCATAAATGGCTGTCCTTTCTCTAGGAGTAGAAAGAAGTTCTTGTAGGATAATACCATACCATCCAAATATTGTCATAATGTTTATGCACAGGAGAGTCAGAATTAGATCAGTCATATTCTTAAACTCATCTATCATGTTCAGTATGCTAATCTAACTCCTTACTTCTCATTTTCCTTTCCAATTTCCTGCCTTGACTTCTTGTCAGATTTTTGTTCATCCCAGTCTCTCTTTCAACGTATTTTGTGCCAGTTACAGTATGGCTGGTTCTTTTGTCACCTCATGCCATTTCTCTCTTTCAGTCTATTTTTGCCTCTGTTCTTCTCTGGTCCCTGACATTAGTGGCTCCATTATTCCTGTGTTTCACCAAGAAGTATTCTGTATATTTTACTTTCTCAGTAATTATAAAGCAGTTTTTGATTTGTCCCTTCTTCCTTCTTCTAACCCTGTGAGAATGCAATCCCATCATCCCCTCTATGGGGTTCTTTGACCATTCTCTTGCAGTTTCTTCCTTTCTTCTCCTTGCACAATAGTCAAATGACCGTTTGAGTTACAAGTGCCTGTAATGTGTATTGGAGTGCTAGAGGTGTGAATAGAGGAGGGAAAGCCTCTGGTCAAAATTCTGACTCCTGACCTTTCCTGTAACAAGCCAAATTAAAGGGAAATTCCGGGAAAATTTGTCCATTATGTACAAGTGTTTCCCATTTTTTTCTTCTGAACATGAAGAGAAAAGTAGAAGGTATAAGTCAATGCAAATTTTGAGCTCTTGTTCCAAAATACAATTTTGAGAGCATCTCAGAAAAATGGTGTGAGTTGATTTCAGTTTCTGCTTAGAGTAATTCTCTAAATATTTTGACTGAAGTTTTCATGCAAAAATTCAGTCAGAAACAAATATAGTGAAGAAATATTTAGCTTGAATATGAACACACAATTCTGGTTGTATTTTTGGCACCTATGTCTAGATTATTTCACATCCCTCAGTCACAGTTTGTGATAGTGTCTGTATCACAAATATATTGCATTCTACTTAAGCAAGCATAATTTTTCCCAAAAAAGCAAATGAAGATTATCTTCACTGCTATTCCCCTTGGGATGTGGGACTAGCCAAGTCTGTCTTTTGCCTGAGGACTCCCAAGAAAGCCTGCGGGTGGATACATTTAGTGTCAGAGAACATTTAAGTTGACTTGCACTTCAGAGGTCATTAAAGCTTTGCTTTGGATTTATACTGTGTGTACAAAACTTTCTGCTTTTGATCTGTAGTTGTTTGGAGACACCTAGATGTCCAGATAATTCACAGTTTAGAAAAAATACTGTCAAAGCCCCTTGCTTTGCAGGAATGTAGGAACAGTGTTTAAAAGTCTCTTAAATCTGACATGTTAAGGATAATTTCTCACAAGGCTTTTTGCTCTAGTATCCACAGAGCACTTTAAGTGCTGGTACCAGAAACCTATAAAATCTATAGTAGGGCCAATGACATGATAATAGATGACAGGTGTCCCCCTCTTTTTTAATATCCATACAAACACTTTTGGTTGATGACTACAGGAATTACAAGATCTGAAGGAGTGGGGAGGGAAGACGTACACTCCTACCAATGATTGAGTTGGCGTGTATTAATGTAATCTCACTTAGTGAAGTATTAGGAATGGCAGAAAGCTAAATCAGCCCCTTCTTTGTGGGTTAGAAGTCTTCAGAATTATATCAAGACCTTTCTTTAAGAGACTGAAATGCTGAAGATGAGGAGCTATGACAGCAGATGGAAATCCTGTCTCTGAGTGCACCTTCCCCTGGTTATGTCTATCTTAGCTAGGGTATATTCTTTCCCTGAAGGTGTATTGCTTGGTTAGGTGTGCAGTTGGGCATTATCTTCTTTGATTCCCTTAAGTTCAGGCAGGGTCTGTGTTTTCTTTAAACGTCCTAGTTTGTCCCCTGTCTCAGGCAAAGTCCACATGAAGAGAGCCTCCTCTGTAAGGTATAGTTAATGACTGCAGTGCTACCACCATGTCATGGCTTCCTGGCTATTTGGAAGGCTTTGTTTTGTTCTAACTGCACCATTTCCCCCTTCTGCAGTGACTGCTTTAAAGTACATATATTCTTTCCTTGACAGATGTATTTGCAGCCATAGAATTCAAACTAAGATAGATAAATAGCAGCTTCTAATGACTGTAGTGAAAAAGAATAGCAGATCAAGCCTAAGACTGGTTAATAATAATTTCTACAGATGATTAATAGTAGTTTTTATCATGTTGCTTAGTTGGACTATTAAGAGAGTTGGACTCCCTCTCTTACGATTTCTGGAGGGCTTATATGATGTCAGCATAAATCTATACATCTTGAAAAGGATTTCATGATATGAAATATTTATGGTCATATCCCATAGTCTTTTTAGCACAACAGGATGTGAAAAATTAATTCATTCATTGTGCATAACTCCTCAGAAATATATATATATGCATATTATACATTAGTAACGTGAGTAATACAATACGAGAGAGAATAATCCTAATCAGAGCACCATGTGAAAAACAATTAGTGTGAAATAATGCACTTATTGTACAGGGATTTAAAAAAAAGAGTAGCTCCAGGTACATACTGAAGCTCTTACAGTATTAGCTTATTTTTATTCTTTGTTATGAATACAAAGTAGAACATAATATTTTTCTGTTAAAGTAACCAACATAAATAGAAGCTTAGGAGCAAATTTATTTATAAGGACTAATATACTACTTCATTGCAGAAATGAGTTCACTAATTAATATTTTCTCCTTACAGATAAAACTGTGGTATGACAAGGTTGGTCATCAGCTAATAGTGACAATACTGGGAGCAAAGGATCTTCCTTCAAGGGAAGATGGGAGGCCAAGGAATCCTTATGTTAAAATTTACTTTCTTCCAGACAGAAGGTAGGGTGAAAACAAAGACAAAGAACTCTTATTCAAATGAATAAGAGTTAGTCTGATACTCAGGTGGCATGCACAGCTGAGTTTATTGGCCATACATGGAAAAAACGTACAGTTTGGAGTTCCTGTATTGAACATGCTATGTTACAGCAAGATATCTTTGAACACTATGCACAAACTTGCTTTCCCTGGCTATATTGTAAAATACTGAGTAGAAGAGGAAAGGTAAACGTATGTCTTTGAATGAGGATCTGTTATTTGCAGAGAATGTTGTTAGTGTTTTATAATGTCCTTATTTCCTATGAGTGCTATTTCTGTTTAGGGCAAAGAAAATGCAAAGTTCACAGATTTCTGGACTGATGGGTCCGGCAGTTTGGTTTGTCTCACCTTTATACAACAAAGCAGAAACAGATTTGGCATCTGAAACCCACAGGTTTCTTATCACAGTATAAGTGATAAGGGATAGGGCTGAAGGGGACTCAGTTGAGATTGGCCATGTGCACCTCGGAAACTTCCCCTAAAGAAAGGGTAAACATATCTTAAGTATAATAGAAATAATTTTATTAATTTTTTTTAACAGTGTGTCTAAAAATATTATTTCTCAGTTAATATTTTGATCCAGATTCTAAGTAACAGTTCAAAATTACAATGATTATATTAAAGTTGCAAGTATTAAAAAACAGACTGTGTCTGCATTACTTATTAAAAAATCCTCATAGATTAGTATGGCAGCTGCATTATGCAGCAATCAGCAGGTTTAAAATTAGACATTGTTATGAGAACTTTTGTCAGTGTTCTCAGTAGAAGAAATATGGGTGTTTTCCAGCAAAATTTGTTTCCATCAGAAAATATTAATTATTTCAAGTAGAAATATTCTGAAAAAGACTGCTTTCAACAACACCCTGGAGCCAGAGCCAGGGCTGCCGTGGTGGCCTGCATGGAGACCTCACCTTGTAGCGGAGGTCCACCTTCAGTGTGGGTGGTTCCTTGCAGTCATCAAAAGATTTTGGGAGCTGTTTTGCGAACACTGTTCCTTCCAGTGTTGCTGTAAAAGAATATGTAACTCATTTTCAGGGCTTCTGGTTTCCCAGCTGTGGAGCTGGGGTCTTTAGTCAGGAAACCCTGCAGAGAAGGCCATGCACTGCCGCAAGCTCCCTGACCATTCCTTCGTGTGGGCCAGCTGCTCCTTCCTGCTCTGCAGTTGGAGTCAGCTGCTGTAGGACTGGAAGCTTGAGTGAACCAGCTGGCTCATTTTTCTGAAATGCAGATTTTTGCTGTGCCTGATGTTGTCAGAATATATGTTCTGCTATCAGACTGTGCCTTGTGAAAATCCTATTTACAGAAGTACATTTTGCTTTATAGAATACTGTTTTGAAAAAAGCCACCAAAACCCAACAAAAATATTAAAACGTTTCTGGTTTTCAGGGAACTTCTTAAAATTTGAATTGGCACATGAACTCGAAATCACCTAATCTTAGTTTTTAATAGGAAATTATGAATTATCCTCAATATACGTGCTGAACTTTACAAAAAAGGAAAATTCCTAATGTAGATTATAGTACCCATGATCCTACAAACTGAACTGCTGATTTAAGATTTCCTATTTTCCATGATATACTTATTACAGTATAATGGTATTTTGAACATATTTAATATTTAACTGTGTTTTTCAGTGATAAAAATAAAAGAAGAACAAAAACAGTGAAGAAAACATTGGAACCAAAGTGGAATCAGACATTTATTTATTCTCCAGTTCATCGGAGAGAGTTTAGAGAACGAATGTTAGAAATCACTCTTTGGGACCAAGCACGAGTTCGAGAGGAAGAAAGTGAATTTTTAGGAGAGGTATACAAGTATTGGTATTTACTATGGAAATACAGTTACTCACATACTCATGTATAGATACAGTATTTTTGAAAAAGTTACTGACTATGCAAAGCAAAATTGTTTTATTGTTATATTTTACTTTCACTTAGTAGTAAACAAATAGTGATCTTGCACTTACCACATACTACTGATATGAGATTCTTTTTGTGTTTGTTTTAGTAACAGCATGAACATGGTTTCTCAATTCTAGTTGTTCATTAAAATCCATATTAGCCATAGTTGTATTTTACCAAAATTTTGGTATGTCGCTCACTAACTTGCTACAAGATATCTGAATGCTGTAAAGGCTGTCATAAGGTAACAAAGGTTTTGTGAAAGGTTTTTGTTGTATTTGGTGTTGTAAAAGGCACAGGAGCTTCTTTCATATTAAATGCAAGACTTTTATATAACTTCAGACAAAGTCCTTAACAGTAAGAGAATAATAGAATAACATTTATGAATATACCTACTTTAAAATATTCCATCATGTAATGCTTTCCTACTTTTAACCATTCTTTCTTTTTTAGATTCTTATTGAGTTAGAAACAGCATTACTAGATGATGAACCTCACTGGTACAAACTTCAAACGCACGATGTCTCTTCATTGCCACTTCCCCATCCCTCACCATATTTGCCACGCAGACAACTCCATGGCGAGAGCCCCACACGGAGGTTACAAAGTAGGTTGTTAGTTTTACACTGTGTATAGTTAATTTGAATCAATGTGTAATGAAGTATATTAAATTCTTGCAGATGGAGAAGTGACAGAATTTTTATGTTAATTTATAACTATTATGAATTAGGCGATATATGATTACTAATGAGAGTGGGACGTGCTACAAATGGTAATATTGATCACTGTGCAATACACCAGTTTTTTCTTATGAGACAACTCAGTTCAGATCCTCAGCTTGAGTAAATTATCGTGGTCTTTTGCAATGTGCTCTTTTTATCATGAAGTCCTATCTTCTATATTATGTTCATCATTTCACTGTTTAACCTAAAGTGAATGTTCAGGACCTCTCTCTTTACCTCATACTTCTTAAAGTTACCTGTATATAACATCATATGTAGCTAAATTAATATCATGCATTGCTTTGAAGCTATTTTACATTCACAAATAGAATTTCTTTTAAAATTCTATTTTGTAGATTTTGTTATACTCAATCCAGAGTAATTTGAAGGTATCAGTAAATATTTTGAAAATAGAGTATATACAATATGCTATTTAAAATAGATACGTAAGAATAAGACAGTTAACGGTAAAAATCTGTTTCTTTAATATTTATTTGTTTCTCTAGTTTGACTGTTCAGTACTGTCAGTGATTTAAAACTGTTCTTCACTGAATTGACTTTATAAAACACCAGTTAGCAGTTATATAAAAAAACCCAAGAAGCCAAATCAACCAACCAACCAAAAAAAGACCCCCAAAACAGCAAACCAGAACAAAAAAACCCACCACCAAAAAAATCCCCAAAAAAACCAACACAAAACTCAACTCCCTTAAAAAAAAAAAACAACCATAGAAGAACCTCAACTAACCAAAAACAGTTCCTAAGAATTATTTGGGGTTTCTTTGAGATGTGAGTTTGTGTGCAGGTTTCACACAAACTCACAGAAGCACATGCCTGTGCAGTCACTTAAACAAGGTTGGATATTTCGTATGTTCCATGTGGGGTCTTCATTAAATAATCCATTTTATATAAGTTTTTCAAACAGTTGATCTGTTTTACTTCTGTGCACTGGATGGTGAGAAGGATTAAAATGCTCCATATCGTAATATTCTGAGATAGAAACATTATCAGAGACTTACATTGCGTAGCCTTGAAGTTGTAAGGTTATACTTGTCCACAAAAGGAGGAAAGAAGTGATAGTTAAAAGGTAAGGAGCTCTATTGCAATTCAGTTCTCTTCAGTCTTCTTGTACACCATGACTGTTTCAGCAAAGTTTTTAAATTTTTTTTCATGGTTTCTACCATCTTTTAAGACATTTTAGGAAGTTAAATTTTCCATGTAAAATGACTTTTACAGACCAGCTGGATATTTCTGTTTGTATGTGAAGTTAGTGAAATTCTGGTTTTCATGAAATATTCAGCCCTTCAAACAAACCCTGTTTGTCTATCACACTTCATATGTGCAATAAATAACTGCCATCAAGAATGAATAAAACAGTAACTGCTTTATTTTTGAGCATATTTTAGTACTGCTTGACTAAAGATCTGTTCAATGATATTGATTCAAAATTTGAAAGTCAGTCAGTTTTTTTTAAAAAGTAATACTAATATATACTAATGCTAATAAATATTAATAATAATAATGTGCTCAACTGAACAATCTTATATGCCTGTCTGGAAATGTAGATGAAAGGAATTAACAAAACTTCTGGTTTGGTGAAACACTAAGGTTTGGTATAGATGTCTTGCTTTTCCCTGAAGATGATTTAGCCTGACTGTTTCCAGGGCACTAGTTCAACAACCTGGGGCTCTAAAAACTTCAGCCGAATAAGCAATTTTAGATGTTCACTGGGACTGCTGGGGAATTCGCATTCTCCCACACTAAATTATTCTATGTCCATTTGTGCTGAGATTGAGATCCGATAAAGGGTTTTCTCTAGTGGTCTGGGAATATATTCATGTCTTAAATCCTTGTGTGTCATAAATAATTTTCAGTTTAAACAGATAGTTTTAAATGTACAGAACATAGTCTTCTGGAATTAAAATTTCTTCCTTCTGAGGACTGGAAAGACACACAATAGGAAATTTAGCATCTGGTCTGAGTTCTGCAATGGGAGCAGAATCCATTTAGCAATTAAAAATACAATTTTATTTTACTTTTTTTTATTGCTGTCATGGTTTGAGAGCCTCAAAAAATCTAATTCTCTAGTCAAAGCCCCCTCCCCCATCTCAACCTAGTATAAGATGTGTTTTTTCCAGACAAAACACGAGACTCAGAATGGGGAAAAGGGAATATATTACAATGGCTGTACAAATAAATATTATAATACATTATACACACGATCTCAACTCTCTACTATGACATAAGTATTTACAATGGATCAGATCTCTTCTCCCCTCCAAATAAAAGTCCAGGAGGGAAGAAGGACAGATCCCTTCTTCAGAGCAGCAATGTCTCTAAGGCAGCAGGTCTCTCTGTCTCTATGCAGCAGCCGTAACTGGATTGTTGTAGCTGGATCTCTTTTCAATACACACAAGGAAGTCTCCAAGCCCCTTAGCCCGTTGTCTCCAAACAAGGGTCTTCAAGACACAAGGGGGGCTCCTTTCACCCCTCTTGGCTCTCCTTTGACTCCAAGCGAAGGCCTCACCTGTGGACTGCCAGCAGGGACTAAACTCGCTTCACCACAGGCATATCACGAAATGCAGGGGCATCTTCGTGAAAGTCCCTTCCTCAGGGGGGTTCACCCCCTGAGTCAGAACATCTTGGGGAGCATTCACTTGAAAGCCTTTGCCTCAAGAGTTCTACCAGAGCTCCTGTGCTCTGTCTCAGGCTGCCAGGCTTGTCAGCAGCAGCGAGGGGGGGCCAAGGTCAAACCCCCGCATTCCTTCTCCATCCCGGTCCAGCTTCAGGACACCTTTGAGCTTCTCAGCTCCTCTCTCTCTGGTGCTGCAGCACTCCAAGGCTCCTCTCCTTAATAGGAGTCCATCTTCCTCCTTTCTCGGAGGCCTCAGAGGGGTATGAGGTTTTATTCCAGTTCTTACCCCAACTCTGTCTCTCTGCTGCTGTCTCTCTTTCTCGGCTCTCCTTCCAGGAGTTCTCTCTCTCGCTGCATGCCGTTTGCTCTTTCGTTCATTTCTTATCTGTCCTGGCTCTTAGCCACAGTCTCTGGATGCTGCTTCTCTGCTTCTGCTCTGTCTCTGCTCACTCACGGTGGAGAAAACTTTCTTAGCTCTCAGCTGCAGGCACCTAGCCCAGCTTTATGCTGTTCCAGGTCCCCGCAGCCCCCCGCTGGGGGCTGGGCGGGGCGCAGCCCCCAGTGGGGCTGCTGCTGTCTGTCCTCGTGGCTCCTACAACATGGCTGGTTCTCCTACCACCAAACTACAACTAACCTTCTCTTCTGTTTGCTTGTGGTATGTTTATATTTCGCAGAAGCGCTAATTGGATAAAATTTCCAAACTTCCAGGGTCACCACCCCCTGGGGCTTTACCATTTTATAACTGCAGGGGAAAAACTGTTTCCCCCTACCACAATTGCTATCACACCTCTGAAATGGAAATAAAATTACTTCTTGGTGTTCAAAGAGATGGTGGAACATCCTACTGGAGAGATCCAGTACTCAATTAGACAAGGTTCTAAGCAATTCAATGTAAGTTAGCCAAGCCTGAAACAGGCATTGCACCAGATGGCCTCCAAAAGGCTCTTCCCAATCTAAATGTCATCACCAGGGGACTGGTGAAGGGCAGACAGCATATCTTATGACTGTTTACCTTCACTATGTAAAATATTTATACTATATTAATAACACATAGAAATCTGGTTTTTTTACTTTTTTGGGGGGGGTTCAAAAGAGTATTAAGTTAAACAATATATTAGTTCCTCATGTCTGTAGATGTTTTTGTATCTTTAAATAACACTCTTGTACATGATGAAACAGAAAATGTTATCCAGTGGTACATTATGACAATGCGAAAAAAATTTCCAGAATGAAGACAAGGCTTGTCTAGCATGTTTGTTTATGTTTTTCAATGCACATCTTAGAAAACATACTGGGCTGTTAATACAGTAGGCTGATTTCAATTTCTGGAGCCACAAAATCTGAGCAGTTCAGTCCTCCTACCTTTTGTTCATTTCTGTGATGCCTCTATATGTAGAATTAGTGAGTACAATATGAAGTACTTTATTGAATGCCCCCCAAAATTGTTAGTGTGAGAAATGACAAGAGATATTTTGAATTACAAGGTTGTTTGTTGTTAGTATAAATGCACATCTACACATCTAAGCTTTCTTCATGATTGCCAAGTAGCGATAAACACATATGTTTGAAGACAATACTTAAATGTTATTCTCTAAAGGTAGTTTAAAAGAACCACCTACACTTACCGCTTACTTCTATTCTCTTTTTAATATCACTAAATTGTAGCGTTTCTGAAGAAGAGCAGACTGTCAGCCCTGAAGAGTGAAGTCCTATTTACAGATTGCCAGTAGCAAAGTGCAAGCTTCCCACACAACCCCATATGCCATTTTTTTTGGAACCAGCTTCCAGAGACAGTAGCTTAGTTTCTACATATATTTATCTCTCAATATCTTGGAGTGGGCAGTGTGTTGTACAGACCGACAGTCAGCCGTCCACCTTCTCTTGCTCAGTCCTCTGATCCATACGGTCCATTAACTTCCTAGTGATGAAGGATCATTACCATACTTTTTCCTTTGTGTTTTTCGAGACATCTACTTAGAAACTGGAACTAATATAGAACATAGGATTATGATTTACTAGGTCTTTCAGCTAATTATATTTCGGATATTCATAAACTGACGATGTTTATCCAATGAGTATATTTTAAGCTTTTTCTTACGTGAAATGTGCTGGACTTTTGAACTGAATTTTTAAAATTATTTCATTTTCTCTAACATTTAGTATAAAATCAGATATACATGAAGAATTCTGGACAACATTAACCAGAGTTACAAACAAAGTGAAGTTCTTTTTATACTGCTTCTGAAAAAAGATTGTAAACAGCAAATAAAAAATAATTTTAAAGATATTTAGGAATTCCCGTTGTTAGTAGATTACTTTTCCATCTTACATTAGGTAAGAATCTTAATACAGACTACATGAAAAACTGAATGGTTTCAAAGTTGTGTTCATAGTTGTTAGGATCACTGGGATGGAAGTTATTTTTAGTATTTCTATTTATTGAGAACTGATACAGAAATCAAACAGGGATTATACCATGAGTTTGCAAATCAAAAATTGCTTCCTCTCAAAGTAGCCCAGTATATAAAGATATACATCAAATTGTATCTGAGACATTTTTATTCAATCTTTTACAGCTTTGTCCACGTAATATGAGCATTTGTGCACTATAAGCTGATATTGAGTTATTGTTGAATACAGAGTTATTGTGTATTTTGAAGAACAGTTTTTAGTTTTACATTGACTCTGAATCAGTTTTGGAAGCAGATTTCCTTTTACTCCAGTGCTTTAAGAATTTCCCAATTACTTAGGTTTGAAAAGTAACTGCTGCTAGTTTTCTAAGTCAGATTTTGCAGCTTTAAAACCAAGCTGGCTGAATTATTGATCTGCAGACCACAGCAAGTGGGTGTGCAGTGTGGGTAACAGCTAAATGCACCAGGAGAAGAAATGTGCATATAGCAGTAAATCCAGACATTTTCAGATCTCTTGTTGCAGCATAGGTATGTGCAGCAGTTGAAGGAGAGCTTTTAATTACAGTGAGAAGGCACAGTATGGTTTGAAAAAGAAAAGTGAAGTTTAATATTTTAAGCGTCCTCAGTAAGGGAAAAGTAATAAAACTACAGGAGATAAACTGCTGAAAACAAGATCTAAGAAATTTTAGAAATTATATATTTGGAAATCAACATATAGAAGTCCAAAATGGTGGATCAAATTTCAAGAACTGAAAAACAGCCAAATCAATCAGAATTAAAATTATGTAAATAAACAGATTGCGGAGTAGCTTTATTTTAAAGGGAATTTGACTTCCATTACTTTTAGAATGAAATTCATCAATGACTCCATTCACTGAGTTTCATGATTCTTCAGGCACATAAAATAATCTGGAGGAAGAGAAATTACAGTAACAAGTATTTAATCTCTGGGGAAAAAAATTAAGTATATTATGTTCTACAAAAAACCTGCATACAGTGTGCAAAAGAACTATATACGACATTTATTTTCCAAATTTTATTTATTTTTTCAGATGGGAATAAAAAGAAATCTATAATGCAGAAACAAAGTGTTTTGAATCACATGGAAAATTTTGTCGTCTTCTTTCAGCTTTGTACATTCTCCCCAGTCAGATTGCAGTTTCTGGGGCAATGTTGAGACTTTAACAGGGTAAAAAATATTACATCTAACTAGAATAAAAGCAAACTGATAGACTGAATTCACAAATAAAGAACCTCATAGCTTATTAATTTTTGAAAAACATTTTTAGATTGACCTGTCATTGCTAATGCTGAGGGCTTTTTTTAATGTTCTGTGGCTGTACCACCAAACTAAAGAGGAGTTGAGTATTATAACTTAATTCAAGCCCTCTCTTCCATTATTTAAATGGTAAAATTGCCAAGTCTATATTATAGAACATCAAGATGTACACTTAGTAGTACCAAAATCATGGAAGTTTAACAATAATTAATTCCAAATATATCTGAAACATTATCCTGTGAAACCTGAGACCCTGTGAAATGATGCCCAATCTTCTTCAATGAAAGCTGTTTACTTCCTTGGAGGTCTCTGGAGTCTCATTTTACTGTAGAATTGTGATTTTGCTGTCTCAGCAATTTCCTTTTAGGTTGTTGTGAGTTTGGTAAATCAGTGTGATAATTTTCAATGTCACTGAACGTTACTTGAGGAAATTATAATTATGCTGTTTACTAGTAGGTAAGTGAATTGTACTTAATGGAAACATGCATCAGTGACTTCTTTCAAATTATAATATGGAGCATTTTATGGTCGGTGGCACAGACTATGAATGATTAATTTATTATAAGACTTTTACCCTAGAGAGCAAGAATAACACTTATTTTTCTCTTTCATGCTTCTTCTTTAAAATTTCTCTTTCTTTTTTAGAGCACAGGCCTTGGGCATGTTGTCTTTGTTTGCATGCATTGATATTTTTTTGTTAACAGAATATGGATATATATACCAGTATTGTATTTATTTATTTATTTATTGTACCTCTATGGTTTATTAAATACTTTAATTAAAAGGTATTTAACATGATACAGGGGTGTCTAAAAAGGCCTTAAACAATAAAAAATTTTTCTTTTTCTAATAAAAGAAACTCAAGGTGTTAATTTATTAAATTGTAATTAAACTGCAAAAATACTTAAAAACCTATTTTGAAGAAGTTTAAGGGAATTTGATTATTACAATATTGCTCTGATTACTTGATAGAATCATGTTATTAAACTACTCTTCTGTCATGTAATGATGACAGAAAACAATGTTCTTTCAACAAAGAACTCAGTGCATAGAGTAAAGAAACCTTGCTAAGCAGTTAATAAATAGCAAGTTAATGACCTAGTTTCCTTTTTTAGGCTAAAGGTAATTTGTATATTTTTTTATTATGAAAGCATTATAAGCTACCATATAAAATGTGATAGTTTTAATGAAGTTTTCAAATGGTTTTGATGCTATTCCTACTTTTTCTTTCTGTACTGTAACCATATAGAAACAAACATGGCTTCCGTGGTCCTCAATCCCATTAAAACCTCAGTATTTTTGTGCTCTTCCAGAAGCTCTACCTTTTACAGAACTTTCAAGCAGTTAAATTGAGAAAGTCCATAATTTTTAACTCTGTAAATAATTTCTAGACTATGTTAATTGATATTTTTGGGGGTGAGTGTGGCACATTTGAACCTTTGGTGACTTTCTGATGTTGTTGGGATAAACTAGGAAAATTCCCTAACTCCATTTTTCATCATTTTGTAGCCAAATAAGAGTCAGTTTTTAATTAAATTCATAACTGGCAGAGAATAGTACCAAGGGATACAAATATTAAGAGAAGTTACAAGATAAGGATCACATCTAAAATGTAAATGATGCTGAAAAAACCTCCTATCATTCACTTCGAAATTATATTGCTGAATGGAATACTGGATCTGGGACATAAAAATTTATTGCATTTATATAGAAAAAATTTGATAATACAAGAGTTAGAAATTGTAAGTAGTAGATAATTTAGTGATGTGATCCACATATTAAAATAGTTAGTACCTAGATGTCAGAAAAAGTGTGACTTGCCAGAAGGTACTTAGTCATCCAGTGAATCCTTTAACAGCACCAGCTGGCAAGAAATTGAAATTTTCATTTTTCCCCGAACACTGTCATGTCTTATCATCTGAGGTGCATTATTTACTCACAGACTGTCACTCTTTTCTATTTAAGATGATGTCTTTGAGCTGTTCAACTACAAGGAATAAAAATATTCATAATGTCTTGCTAATGACAAGATACTATTAATGTTATTCTGACTTCCCAGCTTCTTCATATTACCTGATGAAAGTCATATTTACAAAATCTGCAAATGCAGATTTGGAAATCACATTTCCATAATTGTTCAGATATTCAAATACTATTATTCTGTCCAGTTTAGAAAAACTGGTATGATTGTATGGAAAGCTAAAATACATAAACAGTCAGACTTAAGAAACGCAAACAATAAATCAGATGGTGCAAGTATTTGATCATTGAGAACACATCAGGACTCTTAAATTCAAGGGTAACAATGGTATGCAGATAAGGTTTTTATGTATGTACATATTTACCAAATCAAGACCTAGCTGGAGAGAAAAGATTGACTTGAACAGCACTTCTGAGTCTGCTAAATTTAAAGTAGGATTCATAACTACATCTTGGGAAAGTTCTGCTAATGCTGTGGTGACAACAGAAGTGTGCAATAACTTTAAGGGTAGCAGCTCATACTGTATGCCTAGGTGAATATACATTTTGCCCTTAAAAAGTTAAATGCTTAGAGTAAAAATGTGCAGTTGTATTTCAGAATTGGAACTTACTGAAATAGCTCTGCTAGTCCTCTGTGACTACTGAGTGCAGCCGGTGATCCAGAAGTGATTGACATTTTTGTAGTTTAATTTCTCTTGTATGTTTGAGTTTTATTATTTTGAAGGAATGTGGCCTAAATATCAAAATTTTCAGCATCTGGCAGCAATTATAATGAAGTTTAAGGTTCTAATCATCCCTGTTACATGTATTGATTCATGTATTTTTTCCTGACACTACTTCATTTCAATATTTGTTTTCCAGATAAAGGCTTATATTCATATAATTCAGGTAAATTTTAAGCATGCCAGAAATGCTTATTGCTTCCATATGCGTGCAAATTATAATTTGATATTTTGTTGGTGTGCTTTTGCTACCTTTTGTGCACATGCTAAATTGCTTAAAAGTTCCTTGGCTTTTCTTGTCTGCTTTTCAGTAATAGGTCTTTTGTTGGCTTTCTTTCTCTATTCTTAACATCTCAGTATTGATACTGGAGCAGTATTGTAACACCATACTTGCTTTGCTTGCCTTTATTTTAGGTACAGCTATGGTAGGAAAACTGTAGTGAGCTTTATTAACTATACTAGGAATTTTGCTAGTTTGCTTAAGCTATATTTAAAGGAACACTGTTATATTACAGCTGCTTGAGAACTAGTGTATTTTTAGAATGCAGACATGAGGTAAGTTAAGAACTGGCAAAATCAGTCTTTACACTGATACAAATTTCTACACTTTCATAGTGTTTTAAATTCCCCATTACAAATCCAGCTGAGAAGTTTGCCTTAATTAAATATAATTAATAATGTGCAGTTTTCACAAACTTAAATTTTGTAGTGCATTTCATGTGGGACTTTTTGCAGATCCTGAAGTTTTAATTATTAGAATCTCTTTGAGAATTGGTTCAAGTAATTACCTTTTAGTTACGTTTAAAAAATGAAACACACATTGTTATGAAAATAGATTCAAAATATGGTGGAAAGAAACAAAACCCCCACAGAGTAATGCTTTCTTGAGAACAGTACTAATAAAATCTGGTTTCCATTACATCTAACGTCAATCTCCCGTATTTCTTCCATTCCATTCTCTCCTGAAATTATCCCACATTCATCTCATTTTTTTACAGTATCTTCACATGGGAAGAGACCAAGTTTGCTGTGGCATCTGTGTACTTGTGCAGTTCTGATTNCTTGATAATGTTTCTTTTTAATTAAGGAGTTCTGATTTGTATCTCTCTCTTCTATCCAGCAACCATTTTCAAAGATCTGTAGGAACTTAATAGAATTTGATATTTAAACTCCTCTGTCAATGTAGATGAAATTGATAAAAAAGTCCAAAACCCGCTATTATGTGCAGGAGGATAAAGTGACATATTCACGTGGAGACAGCAGGACTGCATTAGAAATTAGCTCACGCTAAGAACCCTCGGGCACAGGCTGGATGAATATCAGAGAGCAAATTCTTAAGACAGTTGTGAGACTGACTTTGGGGTTGCTTATATGTCAGCTTTGTACACAGAACAATTACAGGCAATGCTAAGGGACTTTAAGTGGTTGTGAAGGCCTTCTGTGAGCTTCAGGGAAGGAACTATAAGCATGCTTCACTACCCTTTGTTCTCCCAAGGAGTTTACACAACCTTGAAAAAAAGCTTCCTGCATTGTAAGGGACCGGATCTCCAGCTTGGGAGCTCAGTCTGCTGTCTTCTTCCTTTCAGTTTTACTTTTTTTTCCTCCACAAGGAAAAATAGAGAATTCCTGAGCCATAAATAACTGGCACTTCCTTCTGTATTTAAGCTGACTCACCTTAATTTTATTTCTCATTCTATCCTCTGTCCTAGTCCATTCTATATTGGTTGGTCCTATGGTTTTAGTAGAGTTTTGAACCTTATGCACTGGTCTCCTCTTGAGGCCTGTAACAGAAATATCAATGGGCAATATATGAAGTACAGAAGGTATTATATCTTGCATTATTACCTCTGTATATTAATAATAGAGTGAAGCAAAACTCTGTGCCAACTTTAGTTGTCATGTAGAAGGCAGAGGGTATTTTGAAACCCTTCACAGATTTTGGTTGCTTTGCAAGAAAATATTTGTTTGAATATTGTTTCATTCATCTGGGAGAGTTCCAGCTATTTAGAATGTTGTTATGGATATAAATGTAATTCTGAGGAAATAGAATAGAATATTTCCTTTGACAGGGGCCTACAATGATCATCTAGTTCAACTGCCTGACCACTCCAGTGCTGACCATATGTTAAAGCATGCCATTAAATGCATTGTTTAAATTTCTATTAGCTTTCATGGCCACCAACACTGCAGTCCATGAAAAGTTAACACAAAAAAAAATATTTAATTCATAAAATTGAAAGGAACACCTCGTTGTTTTCTTTATATTATTGCTAGCCATGAAGATGAAAAATGGAAATGTTTTTATACTAAGAAACTACTGTATTGTAAATCCTTTTTCTGCCTAGTAGAAAGTAAAAATGTAAATGGTAAAATAGTAAAAACTTGAACAGAAAGTACTTGCTAAATGGAAACTGAAAATAATGGTCCTAATGGGTTTTAGGTGGTGGGGTTTTTCCCCAGGTCTGCAATGGAAGCTCCAGTGATAAGTGCTGTAAGCTTCCAGTCCTACTGTGTTCATGTTCTTGCAGAGTTGTGCTGGTGGGGATGGTGGCATGAGCAGCATCGTAGGGAAGGAGTAGGTAGGTGTGGATGGGCAGGAGGATCCTGAGCGTTGTCAAGGTCTGATGAGTCGGTTTTCCATTGCCCCTGGAAAAATTTTATTGATAGTTTAACGTTATTAAACCGAAACCTCCTAAAGTGAATAAGAATATATCTTTTGATTTCACTGGGCCTGGGGTTATGCTGAATTAAGGCATTTTTATGAGGGTTACAGTAGCTAATCATACAGCATGGGGTCTATTTTGCCTTCAGTCTGTAACTGTAATAACTGTTAATCCTGGTGGAAGGAGTTCAGAAGTCCTTATTTACCATCTGTTACCGCCCAGCTATCAGACAAAAGGGTAATAATACCTCCAATACAGTTTCATTAATAAGCTAAATACCAGTAGAATGGCAGTGAGACTTAATTAATGCCATTTCTCATGTTTAAAATCCATCAAAGAAAAAGTTAATTATATGCAAACCATTGGCACCCATGCATTAATTTGACGCATCCAGTGTCCTGAGTGTTACATGCTTAAGCTTTTTACTGAACTTTGAATTTATGTTAGAATGGATTTGAATACCCTATTTTATAATATATATGTAAAACAGTTTAAGATATACACTAAAATGCTAAATAAGAATTTCGTTCTCTATATTAATTTGGATTAATTTGTGAGATGTTTCATTGTCACATTTCCCAGAAAAAAATATGAATTGCTCTTTCTCATTTTTATGATCAGTGATTCAAATTACTTAGATAACAAAGTAGTACTTTGAAAAGACATGGCTAAGGTGGGACTGATGCCTAGATCTTCAAATTTACATTGTCAATATGTTAAAAAGAAAATTACCTTCTAAAATTAATATACAGCAGATGAAATTACTTTTGCAAAAATTATAAGAAATATTAAACTAAGCTGCCAGTAATTATATTGACATTTCAAATACTGCGTTCAGTAAAAGATTCTGACCCCTGCCCATTCTAGTTTGTTCCATTTCTGAAGTTAATGGAAGATGTTTTAAATAAATATAATTTGATTCCTTTGCAGAACTTATATATTCCAGACAGTAGTTCTTGACACTACATATTTAATTGACATGCTTTCCTTCCTCTGTCCTTCCTGAAAACATTGATTTCCAATGATAAAACCAAGTAATTAATTCTGCTTTGAATTTTTTCTGACTATCATTTAAATTTACATTTGTAAATAAATGGGAGATATTCCTTAAACATGATTATCATTTTTCAGTCGGTTTATCTGTTAGTAGTTAGAGTTGGGTAAAGTAGCTCGGAGAGATAGAAGAGATGGTGTGAACGAGCTTCATATGTCGTCTTACAGATGAAGTTTTCATATTTAAGCAATGTCAGCTATTACAAGAGACTCTCCTCTTTGCAGTAAAAAATACGATTTGGGAAAGCACTGAAATTTGATTCTTCCCTTGTTTTTATTCTTCCTCTACTCCCATCCTTTGGCACATCTCAGTCCTGGGCTGTTCACTTTCCCCATGCCCCAGCTCTTCCTGAAGTTTGGATGGGAATAAAGATAGAAGTCTGTACTTAAAAAGAGAAAAGGATCTCTAGATCCTGGACGATTATTTAGAGCTGAGTATTAGGAGATTCTGGAGCAGATGGATCTCACTTGGAGAGACAGAGAGAGAGAGAGAGAGAGAGAGAGAGAGAGAGAGAGAGAGAGAGAGAGAGAG